CAATCTGAGTTACTTTAATAATTTCATAACATAGTTTTGGGTGATTCTCATCTTGGGTGCCAGGGCGTAGAAGAATTTTGGGTAATGGCCAAGCAGACAAGAAGAGAGTATCAATAACCGGTGCATGAAACAATTCCTTAGGGAGTGGAATTTATCCCCCGCACACAGGCATTCGAAAGAGTTTGGTAAGGAGCATAATCGAAATGGTTATTCTCTATCTCAAGGAAGGGAATCAGGAGGCTGATAGGTATTCTGACGGGCCACTGCCCACTGAGAAGACACCTCTTCGTAATGGGTATCCTACCGGATCCCTTTTGCCGCTTCTGCGAAATAAAAGAAGAAACGGCAAAGCACTACCTCGCAGAATGTGATAGGTATGCTAGGTCTAGATTTGAAATCTTTGAAGGAGAGGACATCACCAAATCACTCCCCGAGATAAAATGGTCCAAAATCTTGGGGTTTGTGAACAAGTCCAAGAGGTTTATGCAGGACACGTGAGCCGACCAAGTCCCGGACCTTTTAGGGATGGGGTACGAGTCTACCCAGGCATTTAACCCCTCGGGTCTTGGTCGCCCACCCTGCATAAGCAGACAAAATGGCCAGAGGATGATCTGCCCAGAACCAACCTTGTTATCCAATTGGGATAACAAGATCTTGTATCTCAGCCTTACTCCCAACTTCAGTGCCGAGGGCAGAGGAATTTTGCTACAGTTCAGAGACGTGATACTAGTATATACCGGTCACTGGTAATTGAGAAAACGACTACATATCTTGGGTTATATTCAACGATAAACCATTTGTAGGCTATACAATGAAGACTAAGAAACTATATATTAGAATGCGAAGAAACCCCTAAACATAGCGGCCACTATGATGAACCAGAAAAATAATTCCAAGATCTACTACTTTTTAAAAGAATCATCATCATCATTGCCCAGTTTCAAGTTAAATAAAAGCTCAAAAGAATACTAATTTACTAAAATTCTGAATGAATGATCGAATCAATTGAAAATAAATAATGAACTAGGAAAAGTCATACTGAACTGGCATCGAGTCACTTATTGGGTCCGTTTTGACTCGCGGGTGTACTGAACTACTCAAACAGTTCCTCACTGAAGAAGACGCAATGCCGAAACGCGTTTGGATAGTGCAACAAACCGCGCGTGAAGACGGACCCAAAAAGTGACCCAATGCCGGTTCAGCAAGTGCACCGACTCGCGGACCAATACCCAGCATCAATTCTAAATGGGAAAAGTACAAACAAAAGGCAGTGCCTGGAAATGTAAAACCATGCTCCCTAACATCATCATCAACATCATCATAAATAATTCATAAATTAAAATAACAAAATGAATTACAAATAAACTGTAGTAAATTCAAACATGCATTCACCATTTGAATGTATTATTTTTTAATGTTATACATTTTTTATTCTAAGCAAAATCTACTCAAAATGAAACGAAATCATTCCAATCCCAAATTAACGATTACCACCAGATATAAATAAAATAAAACGAATATAAACGTTAAGAATACCATTATCTCGATAAAGGGAAATAAAAAGGATGGTCGGGATGGAGGGAAGTGATTGCTTATTGACTGAAAGTCATGAGATAGTCCCAACCACGGAAAATCACGAAACCGTTTCGTATGATGTAATACAGTCCTGTTTGTAAAGTCCCACAATTTCGATTAATTCCACTGATATGTTCTAAAATATTGGCAAATTCTTTTTTCTTTTTTTACAGAAATAATTTATTATGATCATAAGTTGGAGGAACGAAACTAAAATGAGCTTAAGTTATGGATTGCCCGACCCAATGAGCATAAGTTATGGATTGCCCGACCCACTGGGCCTATCTTCAAAAATGATAACGATCGTTGCAGAAAAATTTGGTTCAAAATTAACAACATAAATTTAAATAACCAATTCAATTAATTATTGATTCTCACTCTCAACGACAAAAGCTCTAACATACCAGAGAATGTTTTTTGCTTTTTTTAATTTTCTTTTTTTGTAGCTTATGCATATTGGATATATTACAAGTGGGTCAGGGTTAGAGATGGTTTTGGTTAAATATCCAAGATACAATGTTAATAAGCAAGTGCTAGTTCTTGGTGAAGAGCGTGCGTTCTTACTCGACTCAGAATAGGCCTTAGACGGTTGACACCTTATAAACAGGAGATGAGATTTTTCTTTGTATCAGTAGAAAAGCTACCGACGGCACAATTAGTAGGCAGTCCTCAAAAGATCTAAATTTGAGAATACGGATAGCATACCATAAATGATAGCTTTTATGAACATTCACCCTAACGCCTAGAATCCAGTTAATTGATTTGCCGTATCCACAATTATGGTTAATCGTAATTATGGATTAATTATACTAATTATTATAATCAATGAATCATTGCGGCTTTCAGACGATTTAGTCAAATTTGCATGGTTTGACAACTGTTTCCAGTGTGAAATTATTTTCTGTATTTTCTTAGGGTATTGCTATCCATTTGTTGTTGCAGCTCGATTCTTTTTTTCACTTGTAACATGCAGGATCGTCTTTTTACCATCACACCTTATTACGGCCATTAATTACCATTAATTAGAAGGGATTTAATTAGTGGCTATATCGTAATAATCGCCACCAACTCATTGATCAACACCACAATAAGAACAATGGATCAAATGAGTCAGTTAATGAGCTGACTAATAATGTTATTGTTCAGAGTGGATCCAATTCGTGTATCGGCATTAATTTGTATAATAGAGCACGTGTAATAACCGGCTAGGGCAGATTTCAGGTTATACCAAGCAAACCATATCGGCAAGCAGAGCAGCAACAACGATGCTGGTAGTTTATACATGGCCATTTGAAACATTTTTCCCGCTAAACTGTAAGAGTGGTGTGTTTCGGTCGTTTCTGATCATTTTGAGTCGCTGTTTTTTTGTTTTTTTGTTTGTTTCTACCGGTTTTGTACAATCAACTGGAGATGCGTGTAGAAGAGTGAAGTTCAGGTGTTTTTTTACAATATTGATCACTTCAGATATCGGAGTGAGAGAGGGAGAGTATTCGAAAGTAAATAATGACAATCAGACAGATCTTTCAGGAAATTTAATTAGCTTTGGGATGGTTTCCACCTACTTTACATGATTTCTCCTAACAGGAGGATTTATCGGCCCAAAATCAATAGTCTCCATTTACATTACAGATTAGATAAAATAGCGTGTCAGAGATTAAAATCAACGCGCTATTCATTTTTTCGTCGGCGGTTTGAAAAATGATTACAAGAGATGGTACAACATACAAAAATTATTCTTCACTTCCATTCGAAAACGAGGTTAAAAGTTATAGAAGAGGGAAAGAGCCTCAGCAGAAATACTTTAACATCTTCAGCCCTTGCCTATAAATTCACGAATTCATCTAAAAAATTATTAAATATAAAATGGTTGCATATAGGGACAGCTTTCATACGTACGCTGAAATCATCTCTTTCATTTGAGTGAATGCATTTATAAGCGTGAACGTTATACTATGTTTGGGTGTGCTTGAGATGGAATATCACCCACAAGCAGACCGAAGAAGTCTAGGTTATTTAGTTTTATGTATATTAACAGTGTTACGGGGGTTGTCAATAGCATCAAAAACCGTGGTGATTATCAAATAGTGTGAATGTATTTATTTGCGTGTGTAGTTAAGTGTGTTTGAGCGCGGTCTGTGAAGAAGAGTACACACAGGCCTGTCGAACCAATTGGTTAACTTAAGATAGGGAATGTACGATTTTGACTATTGGCGTGAATAAAATAAGAGCGTTAATGTGAAATTCGGCAAACCGTAGGTTTTGTACATAATAAGCATGTAATTATTCTTTCTACAATATGTAAGGTCTTGGTTGAGATAAAAAAAGTCAGTGTCACGAGTGGGATTCGAACCCACGGCCTTCGTCTCCGGTTAGATACGCCGCTGCTCTACCACTTGAGCTAAACAGCGAGTTAAATAACAATTGCAATCAAATTCTAATAATTTTAGCATCAACTTCAAATCCAATTGAGGCTTTTTTTTTAAACTATTTTACAAGCAACAACTGGTTGAACTGAATCTGAACAACAAAACTTAAATCATACGAACGTTCCTTAAAGCCAGAAACACACTTACCCGATGCTATGCCACGCTAACCTACCCGACGCTCTGCGATCCCCACTGCCCAGATTTTCGTCGGGTCGCATCGAGTACAGTCGAAGACAAAAGAACCGGACACTCATATTTTTATTCAAACTACATGTATTATTGTCGTTATATTAATTACAACATATTTATTTTAAAATAAACCTACTTACTTATTACAACATACTTATTTTAAAATTAACTGTGATTAAAAATTAATTAGTTTTTATTCAAAAAATTAATTTTAATGGTTTGGTAGAAAATTAATCAAAACACAGGAATACGGTTTTTTGATATAATGAATTTAACTAACAATTTATTGTACTCGCTTCGGCGGTACATATACTAAAATTGGAACAATTTATTACACGGTTTTGCTCATCAAATTTAATTAACAATTTATTTCATAGTTTTGCTAGTAAAATTACACCATTTTCTAATGTCGGGTAGCATCAGAACAGGACACTCATATAACAAAACAAATCATTTTAAAAAAATGAATTATATTTAAACATTTGAAAATGGTGCATTTCAAATGGCAAACGTACGGTGCAAATCTCTAATTAAGTAATGTCGGGCATGATGGTACGTAGTTGAAGAGATGGAAAATACAAACGCTTCATTTAAATCTGAATAGCGAAATAAGAGTAAACAAGGAAGCTCCCGGAGGAGCAATTATACATCTGGGTTGTTAGTGAAGAAGGTCTAACTTTAAACTTTAGTTGTACCAGTTCGTGGAACATTTCCGCAATTCGAAATGAAAACATAGTGCTAGGAGACTTTCAGACAGCTCTGTAACATGGGCGTGTGCAGTGCTCGTTATGTGCATATTGTTGAATGTACCTGTCTGATAAGGTCCGGGGGTGCACAAGTCGTGCATAACCATGCTTGTTCCAGAATAGAGGGTGTTGAAATGTGCGCGCTGGTGCGGTTTCAGACACCTCGCCGCATATTCGTTTATACATCTGAGACCTTCGTGGAACTTCCTGAAATCAATTTAAAAACACATTCAAAATTAAGAGAAATTAACATGTACATCGTTTCATTGAAATTGTCAGCACTTTGTATTTGCAGACGTTATATTGATGAAAATTTTCACTTCTCTTGATATCTCATAACATTGATTATTCCATTTTATTCCTATCAGGACTTCAACGGACAAAGAAAACACGTTATTTCAACGTTTTATTTTTTAAAGTTACTTTGAAACGGGATCTTTTATCAATTTTGACGTAATAAATTTGGAAACATTTAAACAATGACCACGATCGGACATTTTTATGGACATAATTACGAAAACGACTCTCCTTTTTGGAATCACTTTGAAAAAATGACTTTGAAAATTTTTCGAAATACTTTAAAACTTTAAAGTTCGATGTTTAAACAGAAAACACAGACCTTCCCATAAATGAAATGCGTATAAAAATTCAATATCCATCGAGAAGAAGTGGGTTAGGAAAAAGCTATTTATGAAAAAAATACCAAATTGTTACCTTAGGCAACCTAACCCTAACCTTACATAACCTAACCCAAATCTAACCCACCTCTAACCCTGTCTTTCGTAACTTGAGCTTAAACCGTCCTTCACGATACTAGTCCTTAATATTAATAATAAACCGCCTTTACCCTAACTCTACCTTTCCTAACTTAAGCTTAATTCTAAATCGACCCTCACTCTACTCGTCCTTAATATTAGTCATGAACCGTCCTTTATCCTAACCCAAACATTCCTAACTCTAAATCGCCCCTCTGTACACTCCTCTTTAAAATTAACTTTTCAATTAATTAAGGTTTTGATAAAAGTCAGTGTCACAAGCGGGACTCGAACCCACGACCTTCGGCTAGATGTGCCGCTGCTCTACCACTTGAGATGGGAGTGGGTGTCCGAGTGGATCGAAGTCTCGATAGCTCAAGTGGTAGAGCAGCGGCGTATTTAGCCGAAGGTCGTGAGTTCGAATCCCGCTCGTGACACTGACTTTTTTATCTCAACCAATGCCTAATATAAAGATTAATTAATTGAAAAACATTCGGTCAATCGGACCACGAACTCTATTGACTTTAAACCAATAATAAATCCTCCCCTTCATCTGGTTGAACGAATCTACATTTTGTCATTTCTAACAATAATTCTATAAATGCTTGAATCGTGTCATTTCAATATTATTATTTCTTTTCAAAAAAAGTTATTTTTTAAGTAAGTGATCCATCATAAAGCAAGTTGTTTATAATCATTTTTTTTATAATCGGAAGGGGACAAAGAAAGACGCGAGCCCTTATTAATTTTGACGTAATTAATTTGGAAAAATTTAATTAATGGGCATGGCCGGATATTTTTGTGGAAAGATTGTACCGATGACGGTTTAACAGGTGTATTTTTAAAACAAACATTTCACAATTACATGCACTGACAGGCAAAACATTCCGCCCACTTGTAATATTACTTGATTTCTATATATTTTTATATATTAATCAAAGTTTCACGTTTTTTAACGTTTAGTAATTGAGTCTTTGTCCAAAAAAAGTAAAAAAAAAGAAATTGCTAAGGAAAATAAAAAAAAAATTACAAAAGACGGACAGATAACATTTGTTTTAGATTTTTAATTAACATTTCAATATCGCGTATTTCCTCTTTTTGCCTTAATTACATTTCGAAGATGCCTCGGCTTCCTTTCTACCAGTCTGGAAATGTCTCTTTGCTGGAGGTTAGCACATTCTTCACGAAGAGTACTTTCAAGATCGTGGAGTGTGGGAGGAAGTGATGGGCGTGCTCTCTTTCGTTTTTTGAGGTTATCTTATAAATGAGTTCAAGTCTGGAGAACCGGCTGGCCAGGCTAAGACCCTGATGTGACGCTGTTGAAGGTACGTTTGTACTATGTGGACGGGCATCATCGTGCATTAGAATAGGATTGTCGCTGATTTCATCGAGGATAGGCATCGCATGATGTCCTAAAATTTCATCCACATAGCGAGTGGCCGTCGAAGACTCCCTCCACGAACAACAGCCAACTCTGAGCGACTCACTATATACACCCAGGCTTCGTACCATTCATTTCGACTTCTCTTTCACACCCATCTGGAGACCGTAGAGCAAATCTACACTCATCTGTAAAATGTACAGTAGACCAATCGTCCAAAGACCAATGCCGTGTTCTAGAGCAAATGCGAGCCGTGCAACTCCCTGTGTTCTTAATCTTCTTCGATCAGTGCGTTCAGAAATTTGTACACCTCGAACTTCCTGGAGCTGATGAAGCCCTTGAACAACAGTAAGGTGGCGGTTTCGCAAAATTCGCAAAGTCAAACAACGGTCATCCTGTGGTTCTGTCTGTTACCTTAGGCGTCCTGAACCGGGCCTTCTATGGTAGGACCCAGTTTTTCGAAAACGTCTAACGGTGTCTCGCAAAATTTCGTAGGGAACTCAGATGGCAATAGCCGCATACAATGGAACGACCATCATGAATAAGTACCACACCACGCGCAACATCCTCAGCACGAAGTGGCATTTTTAAGTTTGAAAATTAAGAAAGCAAAGATGAAAACTAAATAGTTTATTGTTTGAGAATGCAAATGAGACTGAATAAACATTTTAAATTCCGTGAAAATTAAACATTGAAAAATCCTTTATCCTTGTTTCAAATTAAGTGTGTTTACCTCTAATTGATATTCCAAATTTAGAACATAGCATAAATAAATATTTATTGGTAAAAACAATGAGACAAATTAAGGGCAGAATTTTCTTTTATCGAGAAAATGAAAAAAAATCAGTTCGGTGAAATTTTTTGCCTAGAAGCCCATTTGAAAATATGTCGGGTTCGAACCCGGGACCTTTACCTTTCAGTGATGAGCACCGTGTCAACGCCTAAAGCCAGAAACACACTTACCTGATGCTACGCCATGCGACGCTACTCGATGCTACCCGACGCAAATCCAAACTCCGATTTTCCATAAGGTTGCATTACCCCCATGCACATCTACCCGATGCTATGCCACGCTAACTACCCGACGCTCTGCGATCCCCACTGTTCAGATTTTCGTCGGGTCGCATCGAGTACAGTCGAAGACAAAAGAACCGGACACTTATATTTTTATTCAATCTACATGTATTATTGTCGTTATATCAATTATAACATGTTATTTTAATGTAAACCAAATTAAACGAGATCAAAAATGCATAAATTTTTATAAACATTGTTTAATTATGATAGTTAGGAGTAACTTTATTTAAAACAATTAAGTTTAACAAACAATTTATTAGATGGTTGTGCTCAAAATAGTGCATTAAGAACAAAAGATGCGTTGCGATTGTGATAGTGATTATTGTGATAAACGCTGTGGACTGTACGCGACGTGTGCTTGCGTCGGATAGATGTGCACCCCACCAAAACGTAGCAAGGCGTCGGGTAGCATCGGATAGCGTCGCATGGCGTAGCATCGGGTAAGTGCTAAACAATAATCACTATTATTGCTTAGCACCCGGCTTAAGCGTTGCAGCCACCGAGCCCCCCTTTAGCATGTTAAACGTTAATTCTTTCGCAGTGCTGGGCATGGTGATTAGTAGAACCAAAAATAAAGCCGGGAACACACTTACCCGATGCTACCCGACGCCTTGCCACGTTTTGGTGGGGTGTGCACATCTATCCGACGCAAGCCCACGTCGCGTACAGTCCACAGCGTTTATCACAATAATCACTATCACAATCGCAACGCCTCGGTTGTTCTTAATGCATTATTTTGAGCAAAACCGTGTATTAAATTGTTAGCTAAATTTAATCATTTTGAATAAAGTTATTCCGGTGTTTTGATAAAAGCTCTCCCTGGTCATTTCATTTGTCTCCAAGAACCAAATAGATTACACGACATTTGAAAAATAGTAAAAAGGAGGGAAAATTCAAAAGGTGGGGTTTAGGTGGGAAGTTGGTATCCGAGTCGATCCAGGTCACGATAGGTCAAGTGGTAGAGCAGCGGCGTATTTAGCCGAAGGTCATGGGTTCGAATCCCGCTCGTGACAGTGACTTTTTATCTCAACTAAAAACTTTAATTAATAAAAGATATTAATTGATCAAGCGGACCACGAAAACTAGTGAATTTAACATCTAACATTGGCTCTGGCCTGTTAGATCGAGCAATGTTAACTAGCCGATTCTTACAAGTCTACGTCATCTTTTTTCTCTAATCTAATCATCTAACAGAACCTAACAGAGTTAACAGGGTTAACACAAAGAACGTGAATACCCCTAATATGATGATGGTTTTTGAATAAATTTGAATTTAATTTTAAATTCCATTTAATTTAATTCAAATAGGCTTTTAAAAGCATTGATTTTTTTAGAAATAATAAACATCCACTGTGCTTTATAAATCCGATATTGTATCGGGATCTTTCCAATTAACTTTGAAAGTTAATAGTATACAATTTTAAAAAATTTAACACCTCTCCCTGACAGGTTTATTAATGCGTATCGCAGAATGAGACGCAGATCAGGCTAAAATTTACATTGAAAAGAAGCAGAAGGGTTGACAGTGAACTCGCTGATTGTGTTTCTATATAGTATCGATTAGGTTTGGATATGATAAAACCTGGCTCTACCAGCTATCAAAAAGTTAAAGCCCACTCTCAGTCGGCCGAGTAAATGCTTTTAAAGTGGAAAATGCCGCATTTCGAGCCATAAAAAGAGAAATTTGAAGTAAATTTACACAAAGAAAAGAAACAAGCTTCTAATGCGTTTGTATAATTTATAACGATACGATTTTCAAAGAAACAATAAAAGTAAATTATTTTTTAAGTAGATTTTTGTTAATAATTTCGATCTGTTGAAACATTGAAAGAAGATGGAATACGACGACACCTGAGATATGAACTAGGCGGAAAAATATTAGACATATAAATTATCTGGCTTTGTTTAATATGTATTGCAAGGCTTTTTGTTTTTTCTACACAGGATAAGAAAATAATAAACAGGATTCAATAAAATAAAATCTACAAAAGGTCACAAATAGCAAAAGATGCTTCCAATAATGTAGACCAAAAAAATTGTAGTCTGAGAAGCGAAATCCGATTTTTTTTAAAATGTTAACGTATTGCAATGGAACTGTCTTTTGAATTTTCTTATTTCATTTAATACAATCCAGCGAATTATTTTCTGTCTGAGTCGTTGCTGCGATAATAAAAAAATGTGATAACTTTAAAACAACCCAACTTACACAGCTATATTCCTTTCCCCCATAATTGGTCCTCTCTTTTCCATCCGATTTTTAGATGTTTCTGGACATAATTAAATTGAAAGGAGTTTTGTTTATTGTGAAATTTTATATGTCTAATACGATCCTTCATATAATTTTCAAGAAGAAGAAATACCCATTTTTTTCAATGTCGTCACAACGTTGAATTTGGATGAAATCGATAAGAGATGATTTTTTTCCACCGGGGTGCCGGTATTTTTGAAAAAAAAAAAAAAAAAAAAACATTTGTAAGTATGTCGGGTTCGAATGCAGGGCCGCTGGATTCGAACCCAGGACCTTTACCTTACAGTGATGAGCTCCGTGTCAACCGCTGCGGCCACCGACGCCCCCCTGAATTTTTAAGTTTGACACTGGACATCCGAGGAAAAAAATTCCCCGGAATATCTGGCCCAATTTTAGAGCTTAAAGTTAGCTTAAAACAAAACCGAATTGACTTTTCCGTAAAATATTTTTTAGTGGCCTACTTTAATAAAATTGTCTTTTGGTTGTTGTAACTTTTGATATACTAATCTCATTTAATTCGATCCTGCATTATACCTAAAAAGAATTAAGGGTTCACCGAATGAACTGATCGAGGTTTTTAAAATGTTTTATTTTCGACATGTTTCATAACCCATAATATTTCGTGGAACGATTGACCAAACAATTTGTTTCAATTAATTAATGTTTAATGTAAAGTATTGCTTGAAAGAAAAAAGTCAGTGTCACGAGCGGGATTCGAACCCACGACCTTCGGCTAAATACGCCGCTGCTCTACCACTTGAGCTATCCTGACTTCGATCCACTCGGTTACCACCACTAACGTCCCACCTCAACCCCACCTTTTAAATTCCCTCCTTTTTGCCATGTTTTATTAACATTTGTCCAATTGTAAATGATGTTTGTTAAAATTAGGATTTCAAGATATTCTCCTTGTTAACACTTACGACCATGGTTATCAGATATTTATACGAATCATAACTCGTTGATGGAGTGGTTCAAAAAAGTCATCCTACTCGTGACACTGACTTTTTTATCTCAACTAAAAACCTTAATTAATTGAAAGATATCAATTGGTCAATCGGACCACGAAAATTAGTGAATTTAATAAGTAGTTAAATGAAGTATATCTCCGTGTCCATTTCATCTGTCGCCGAGAATCAAATAGATTACGAGACATTTGAAAAATGGCAAAAACGATCCACTCTGACACCACTTCACATCTCAACCCACCTTTTGAATTTTCACTCCTTTTGGCCATTTTTCAAATGTCGTGTAATCAGGATTCGATTCTTTCAATTAATTAATTTTTTTATGCAAGGTTTTGGTCGAAATAAAATTGGTGTCCGAGTGGATCGAAGTCACGATAAGTGAGCACCGGCATATTTAGGCGAAGGTTGTGGGTTCGAATCCCGCTCGTGACACTAGTTTTTTTATTTCGACCAGTACCTTACATAAAAGATTAATTAATTGAAAGAATGTTTCATAATTTGTTTTCTTTTATATATGTTATAAGAAACACATTTCTTTGTTGTAAACAATCTTCCAAAGTACAGCGTGAATGTGGGACTGAAAAAAATACGAAAAGTCCCAAGACAGGAATTCAAAACCAGGAAAAGCGCTTCTTCAAACTCCTCCCACGTTACTTGCTGATTTGGACGACCTCGCATAGCCCTCCCTAGCTGGTCCCAATGTGCTCTATGGGATTGAGGTCGGAGCTACATTCTGGCCAATCCAAAACGTGAATACTGTGCTGATTTAGCATCTCCCTCACCACTCTTGCTGTATGTGGTTGGGCTCCATCCTCCATAGACATGAAACCGGCGACAGCTTGTTGTTGGAACGTCTAAAATCTTTTCAATGTTCGTTTCAATGCGCTGACCTGTCGAAGTGCCACCACGAAGAATAAAGAGTTCGGTTCGGCCATGGATTGTTATGCCTCACCATACGATAAAGGAACCACCTCCAAATGGTGATGATGGCAGCAAACAGCAACGGACGCTCATTTCCTCGCCGCCAAACTTTCACACGCCCATAAAAACTTAACTGTGATCAGTTCATTCAGTTATCCCTTAATTCTTTTAAGGTGTGCATTTTCTTATTCTAGGCATAAAACATCGGTTTATACATAATAACGTTGAAAAACATGCGCAAGAAAGTTAGAAAACCATAAAGTTTTTGAATATTTTGAAAATTAGAAGTTTAGAAACTAAACATTGCCTAATTTATTTATGGAGTAGTATAAGTAATAGTAATTATGCTCTGTTTAAATTTTCAAACGATTAATTTTCTTTATTCGAATTAATAAAAATTACTATTAAGAATATCAAACCTGCACATTTCCTCCAGTTCTTGCAGGGATTTTGTAAACCTGAGGTTGCGCAGTTCCGACGGGTAGGCGCACGCGTACAGGGCATCATCAGAACAGTCTGCACGGTTTTCTTCCATCTCATCATGTTGGCATTGCGCTCCTGTAAAATAAAATAAATTTATATTCATTTAATTCGAAGACTCATATAACAAATAATATTGCTGTAAAAATGTGATTGAGTTTTTAATACGAATTGAATGGAAATAGGCCAATATTGTAATACAAAAATCTTCTTTATCATGCCAGGTTTCGAACTTTATCGATCATCTTCAGGGCTCAATGTGTTTCTTTTCTGTGTAGATGTGTCATTATTGGGTGTCGTGTTGTAATACAAAGATTTTTTTCCTTACGCTAAAATAAACATTCAGTATGATTTGGCGATTAAAATGAGAGGAGACGTCGTGGTAAATTACTTATAGAAGGACAGGTTGAAAAGAACTACAAATACATAGAAATGATAAATAGTGGAGTGAGTGTGGTGTTCAATCCTTTTTTAAAAAGATAGTTCCTACTCACAGTAAGTTGTTTTGCAATGATCCGGATTTCGAGCCTTTTAGCTCATCATCAGGTTGAAGGACTTCTACAAGCACGTCTCTCGACATGAATTGCCAAAGTGAACCCGCTGATACCTCCGCCAACGCGACGTTCCTATTAGCAGCTGATTTTTTTAATGGCGCTCAATTTGAACGTGCGAAACGCGGAAATTTTAGCACAAATAAATATTATACTAGTAAATACTTAATATTATTAAATTACTATAAAAATAATAACAATTAAAATAAATTAGTTTAATTATTTGGATGTTTTATATTATTCGTGTACATATTTAGGGAGGTAGATCAAAATCTGTTATATTATTAATGCATTTATCACCATGTTCAATTTTACATTTTTTAATTTCAAATTTCTCAAACAAATCTAGTTCTTTCCCTTTGTTGAAACTATGTAACACTCTTGTATTTAGATTTGAATTGAAATTATGTTTTGTTTCTTTTAGATGGTCCTTAAATTCAGAAAATTTGCTCGATTTAGGCAAGTGTTCTTTTACTACAAATACAAGTGGAAGAAAGAGGGAAATTCAAGAGACAACAAAATACAAGGTAACAAAATTTATTTCTTCGTTTTTGGGTGTTTTCTTAACATTGCTCATAAGATTGTTTCGTTATGATTGTCCTACAAAATTAAAAAATAATGTTTCAATATGATGGGGGTTTTGGAGAAAAACATACCGAAATTTAAAAAATACAGCTTTTCAGGAGAAACGGCTTTCTGATCGAGCATGAACTTATCTCAGGTGAACAACCAAAATCTATTTGGTCTATTACAACCAATTTTTTTAGTTTATTTATTTGTTTTATTTTATTTATTTATTTATTTTTTTAATGGATGGATACTAGGTAGTAGGGTTTGTGCTCCCCAGGCACAAATTCGTGGCTAAAGGGTTTTTTAAATAGTGATTCCTGCCATTTTTCAAATGTCGTGTAATCGGATTGGATTCTCGACGACAAATGAATTGGCCACGGATAGCTTTAGTGAAGTATACTTCATTTTAAATCATTAAATTCACCAATTTCGTGGTCCGCTTAATCAATTAATATTATTACAATTAATTAAGGTTTTTAGTTGAGATAAAAAATAGCAAAAATGAGGGAAAATTCAAAAGGTGGGGTTGAGATCGGAAGTTAGTGTCCGAGTGGATCGAGGTCACGATAACTCAAGTGGTAGAGCAGCGGCGTATCTAGCCGAAGGTCGTGTGTTCGAATCCCGCTCGAGCCATTGACTTTTTTTATCTCAACTAAAAACCTTAATTAATTGTAATATATTAATTGGTCAAGCGGACGACGAAATTAGTGAATTTAAAGATCCAAACGTTGGCACGACAAAGAAAATGTTTTTCGGAAACCTACATCACACCAGGCCGCATTTCATGATTTCCGAATAATCCTTTTTTGATATGCTTATCAAAATCCAGATTCATAAAGGAAAAACAGTCATCTCGGGTTGTAACAGGAGAGGTCGGTGGAATTTAAATGCTGAATTTAATGGCACGAATTTGCATTAAGAATTTGATGTATGACATTTGAGCGAACAAATAGCACACAATCTGGCATTTACGTGCCAATGTGGCCATTCTTTTAGCGTGTCCAGTCGCAAATGTCTTAATCATTTCCCGACGATGCGTGACAGATCGGCCGATGCCGGGTTGGACGGAGAGGTCCTATTCCTTCTACGTTTCATAGTCCTTCCGCATACAAACTCGCCCCTTAAGAACTGTGTGAAACGACACCTGAAAGAGATTACACGGAGTTTAATACAAACTCTTCCCAGGCCTGTTTCAGATTAAATAGAAACTCTTTTATTCTGCCTTACTATTCTATTGCGACTGCTTTACTATTCCATTCTGTTTAGAGCACCCAAGGATGTGAGGGCCTTAACTCGATCTTTCCTTTAAGGGGAAAAACCATGAAATAATGTCGTATACTTTCATTGACAGTGTAAAAAACATCACATCAATTAGGGCAAATCGTTTGTGAAAAGACTTTTCACACCAGATTACATTTACAATCGTCAAGCTGATCGAACTTCTCCGCTGTAGTGACAATGTTTCATGGCAAGGTTGGAGGGTAATTTTTTAAATATCTACACCTAGAATCATATCGAAGAAGCCCCGTCGAATTCTGCCTTAAAAAGGCAATCATTTCCCATTTTCGCCAGCCTTTTACGTTCGTGTCGGCCCACACTCTCAGCGAGGAAGTAATTTGAAATTCTAACAAACAAACTTCTCCCCACACAATACTTATTATCACCTATTTATTCCAGCCGTATCACATATTTTGCATGTGAATCCTGTATAATAAGACCATACCGGCTGGGAAAGGATGACGTTCCTCTCGTCCAGAGCCCCTTTCGCTGTCTTGCGAGCCCTTCAGGATTTTTAAAGGAAAAGTTAGGGTGATTCATATAAACACTTTTTCACTCTTTATTGGCATATGTAATGCAAAACTTCGAAATTATTTCAGCTTTCAACATTCATCTTTCAAAAGAGAAAAGGAGTAGAGATGAGAGCATTGTACCAAAACAATTTCCCAAGGGATTTGAACCGTAATAACACGAGAGAATTTTTAAACCAGTGGTCATCATGAAAACGTCGATTGTACAGTGGGGTAGAAAGGGATTTAAGAACTCCTCATGGACAAAAGGGATGTTTATGTCTCGTTGTGGATGGTGGGCCCATTTTCATAAAAGGGTTTATTTTATGTCTGAATCTTGGACAGTAGGACGTTGTATTCTTAGGACATTGGGGCGTTTGACCGAACGTTGAAAATTTGTTCGAGGATTGTAGTTTATTTGTTTATTTTGAGTACCAATTTTATAGTATCATATGCGCGAGTTCTACCTCAGATAAATACGATTCCGATGCGAATATATTTATTAAATTCACTAATTTCGTGGTCTGCTTGACCAATTAATATCTTACAATTAATTAAGGTTTTTAGTTGAGATAAAAAAGTCAATGGCACGTGCGGGATTCGAACCCACGATCTTCGGCTTGATACGCCGCTGCTCTACCACTTGAGCTATNAGAGCAGCGGCGTATCTAGCCGAAGATCGTGGGTTCGAATCCCGCTCGTGCCATTGACTTTTTTATCTCAACTAAAAACCTTAATTAATTGTGATATATTTATTAAAGATAAACGGCATTCAATTTAGTCAGGAGGATGAGAAAAAGGGAACCAATTAAAACTAAAAAAAGGAACTTCAAAAAGATGTAATAATGGCCATGAACACTATCCGAGGTATAATTGTGAAAAAATTCCAGACTGTAATAGCAGTTGGTAGTAAGGATTCCAATCAACTAGAAAGCCAAATAGGGCAGACATTTATTTAAAAAAAAAATAGTAGTTGAAATACCCATAGTGTTCTGCGTAAAAGAGATAAGAAGTGGGAACAGAAAGCAAATAGTGTTATATATTATTAAAGCATTAGCCTCCCCTGAGGTAAGATCAGCTACGGGACTGTGCGACTGCCCTGGGAGAAGTAGGAATACGGACAAAAACATGTATGTGTCTCATGGTTCTACATTTGCACATTCATTCGCACTATTCCTGAGTGCTCGATATTCCTCGAGGTAATTGGGGATAGGTCCCTCCATTCACGCTAATAAATTACATTCCTTCTACTCCAGAATACTCCACATTCCTCCGGGTAATTGGGGATAAGCCCCTAAATTCACGCTAATAAATTACTTTCATACTACCCCAGAATACTATTACTACTACAGTATTCTACCAGATCCTTCCTTTTTGGCCGTTTTTGCGAAATAAAAGAAGAAACGGCAAGGCACTAACTCACAGAGTGTGATAGGCATGCTAGGTCCAGATTTGAAATCTTTGAAGGAGCGGACATCACCAAATCACTCCCCGAGATGAAATGGTCCAAAACCTTGGGGTTTGTGAACCAGTCCAAGAGATTTATGCAGACACGTGAGCCGACCAAGTCCCGACCTTTTCGGATTGGGGTACGAGTCTACCCAGTCAATTAACCCCTCNATATACACGCATATGCCCCAGAATACTCCATATTGCTCGGGGTAATTGAGGAGCCATCCCTCCATCCATCCATTTCAATAAATAACACATATTACAATACATGAAGGTGCGAAGATTTATAATATGATACAATATAAAAACATTTATGGATCTGACATACTTGATCAGAGATTCGTGCCTATTTCCGTGCCCCAAGGCCGCACCATGATCATTCGGGATATCGTATTCGTTTCTTTGCAGTTTTAGTTTTTTCCGGTGTTATTACGCTCCACGTTGATAGGTTCTCCACACAACGGGCACCTACTTGGGGTCACCTCCATTAGAAGGTGAAATGAAATAATAATTCACAGCCATTACAGTTCGTGGTCCGATCGACCAATTAACATTTTTCAATTAATTAATATTTTTATGAGAAGTATTGGTCGAGATAAAAAAAGTCAGTGTCACGAGGGGGATTCGAACCCACGACCTTCGGTTAACACGCCGCTGCTCTACCACTTGAGCTAACTTCCCATCTCAACCTCACCGCTGGAATTTTCCCTCCTTTTGG